TTCGAGATTTCAACGAGTCGTTTTCCTTTCCCGCGGCGCCGCAAACCGGGATTGTCTTTCACCCAAACGAAAGTACAAATCCGGGCGCGTTCCGACAGAATTACCGTCCGACAACGCGATTGATCGCGATTATGCGCGCGCGCGCATCTTCGGTTCCTCGAGTCGGGAAGATCCCGAGTACATCTTGACTCAGGGAGAAGAGGGTGTCGCATCCAAAAGCATCGCTCGCGAGCTTCGCGACCGAGCAGCCGAATGACCACCGCGATCGATCGTTTCCTCGTCGCCGAGTCGACTGCGAATCGAGCAAAACTCCGAGTCGTAGGACTGGTCGTCCTCGCGGACAGTTTCTCAGAGCTGAGACGAGAATGCTTGGCTCAGAATGTACGGACCTTTCGTGCAATCGCACCGATATCGTAGATCTCTCGGCGATCCGTTTCTTCATTTTTATAAAGAAAGAGTAACGGGTGTACGAGGGCGGAGAAGACTCGACACCTTGCGCGCGCTTCATCTCGTTGGACGAATCTCCGCATAAATTGCTAATCGTTCGCGTACAAGTCGGCCGCGTGTGTACAGTTGCAAGACTCTTTTTCAAATGAGTTCAGAAACGCGCGTTTAGACTCAGGTTTAGGGTCCAAGACGGTTTCTCTGAGAAAAGTTTTTACTCGACAACAGATCGGAAAATGGTTTCGCAATGGCCGTCGAGTAGAATATCCCTCGGAGAAGATCTTGGGACGTAAACCTGAATCTAAATGCGCGTTCCTAGCACCGGCTTCTATATAGAGGAAAGTCCCCTATTATGAGACAGGATCCTAATATGGGATAGCGGGGTTTCTGTTGAATTAATAAAAAAGGCACCGTCAGTTGATTCCACCATGAATTTGTTGCCGTTGGAGCGAAATCTGTTTAGTGGGAAAACTCATTGTTAGATTGTGTAATGGCGGCGAAAAGAAGATTGCGATTGAATTTGGGTGTTGAAAACCTGCTGTCTCATAATACGAGGACTTTGCTAGGCTGCTGCCTTTGAGCCGAAAAGTGAGGCAAGAGTTCCGCCATGTCTTGTTAGGTAAGTAATGTCGAGGACTGTCAACACACCGATGCATACATACCACTTGATTTACCTAACAAGACACGGCGGAACTTTCGCTCCACTTTTCAGCTCGAAAGTAGCATATAGAAGTCCGTCTCAGTCTAGGAAAAGTTCGTCGACAGCGGGTGCGATTTATCCTCCGAACGGAAGGTTGCCGTCGATGTCGCGATCCGCTCGCGCACCATTTAGAAACGCTATCCGCGAGCCAAATTGCATATCACCCTCTCGCCGACCGCGTCTCGGGAGAAGCAGATCAGCGCTACGGAAGTTGGCGCGTCGCGCCGCGATCCCAGACCGATCAGCGTCCCACCCTGTTGTCCACCCCGTTTACCCAAGGGATAATATTCCAAATAATTGTTAACCGATGATCGATCGTATAATGGTAAAGGGAGAGAGGGGGAGAGAACGAGAAGAAGGAGGGAGAGAAAGAGGCAAACGTGTGCCACTCGTCGCTGAGTACAACGTACACGCGCGAGGGCGACCTATCCGTTGTTGTTCCAAGTTCAGAGGACCCTTTCTCGTTTCCGCGCGATCGCACCCTGGCATCCCTCCAAGCTTCCGCCTCGTCCTCGCGGGTACGCGTCCCCAAGCGACGAGAGTCGTTTGATCGCGCGCGGGGAGAGCGCGATATTTCTTGCCCCTTTCGGACGATCTTGCTTATTGTTTTCGTCAGGCATACCGCGGTTCCAGTTACATTCGATGTCCGCGTTGAGAGAAAGGGAGTGTCATTCGCTGCTCAATCGAGAGCGTCGGCCGATGCCAACTTTCGTTTGAACGTAACTATTAGTTTAGATAGAAAATTCTCCTTTTCTATTTGCATTCGCGAATTCTGGAGCCGAGTCGGAATTAATTAATCACGGCGGGTTGATGCGTCTCCGCAATTCCCTCGGGCCTGCACGAAAGTCTAAAAGACGCCTCGGCCTTTCGGATGTTCCTCAGACGTCTTTTAGACCCGCGTCTCGTTTCCCCCCGCCCCCCCTGCGACGTCCCAGCGCGGACGGGGGCAAGAGACGGGCGGGGCAGAGGGGCTGTTCCGTGTAAACGTAATATCCCCTCGCGGCGGGACGCGTTTGCCGGTCGGCCGCTATTCCGTAAATTCCCTCTGTAAATACCGTCCTCTGAATTTGGCACGGAGGCTCCCCGGTGCCTCTCCGTGGTCTCGGTGCGAGAAACGCGCAGTCCTGAGATTCCCTGGGCGGGTCGATCGGATCGTCTAACGCCGGGCCAGTCTTGAGCGATGATTGCGCACCGACATTGCGTGTAAAATATTAGCGAATTAGGGACGATTTAATTGCGATCAAAGGATATCACACCTACCTTACCCTGTACTCTAGTGGACATGGGCCAAAAACTCGGTATATTATATTAATATACGTTCAAGGTTGGCCCATCGCCATGACCAATGAAGTAGCGAAGGAGGGGTAGCGGCAGATGAGGGAAAGGGGGAGGAGGAGGAGGAGGAGGAGGAGAAAAGGGAGAAAGATAGGAGCAAAGAGCGAATTGTCATCCAATCACATTTTTACGCACTCCAAATTTTTATCCTCGTCATTTGTATCATAGCAGCCGTGTGTTTAAAGACGACTCCACATTATGTGTATGTAATCAAAATTGTAACTGATAAAACGTTAATAAAAAAACGATATCCGAAATCCCCCCCGGCTGTGGTACATCAACCCCCGATCTTCATCTTCCGCCCTGCGCGGCGCTCCGGTTGCGCTCTACGATCTCTCGCGCGGCCTCTCGTTTCGACGTTCGTTCGACCACGATCGCTTGGAGAGACAGGACCGGTCGCGAAAGGCACGCGATTGTCGGAAACTCGCTGCGGGGCTCGGGCCCCTCGAACGAGAATTTCGACACTTTCAGACACGTGCCAAAAAATGCTCCAATCGATTTGGTACACGCGTAGAATTCATTGATAAAAAATTAATTCCATTCAACAGTTCACATTGATAAATAGCAATGTTATATGTTATAATAATATCATTCGCTCGTTAAGACTACTAAGTGAATCTGTAAAATAAAAAATATGGAATTTATAAATTTTATTCATAGTTTGAGAGCAAGGCCGGTATTCACAGTCGGGTCTTGTATTCAAGACCGTCTTAAGTTTATCTCAAGAGAGAGCCGTGCAAACATTTCACTGGCTACAGAGTATCCAAAGATGATCTTAAGACGATCCTAAGTATAAGGTCCGACTACGAACAAGTAACGAATCGGTGAAAAATTGTCTAAAATGTCCAAACTCTCGCTCGACGAATTCTAGCCGCGACCACGTTGAATTACGCGTTAAATAGACGCGCGAGATGGCGCGATTTAAATAATAGCGAATTCGGTTGCTTGCACTAGCATAGTGTAACTAGTGGGTCCACTCTCTGTCGGCCCCTTCGATCTTTGCGGTCCCGATCACGTGGTATTCCGCCATCTGTATGGATGCTGTGCAGATCATTTTACTGGCTGCAAAATATTTCAAAAAATATTTTAGAGGATTCTTTAATATAAAAATTGTCTGTAAACGAGCCTTAGTGTGCGCTCGGTGCGCACTAGTGCAAGCAACCGAAGTCGCTATAAGACTTGTTTACAGTCAATTCTTATATTTAAGGATCGTCTTAAATATCACTTGAATTTCTCAGCCCGTAAAATGATCTGTACAGCATCCATACGAATCATTTTTTTGGCTAAATATTCCTTGAACATGTATTTAAGACGTTAAATATAAAAGTTGACTATGGCTGCGGTCAAGCTGTCGCCTCAAATGTCACGAAGTATTTCTCTTCTCTTTTCTTTCAGTAGAGATAGAAAGAGAAGAGAAACGCTTCGAAGCGTTTGCAGCGGCAGCTTGGTCGCAGCCTATAAACAGATCTTATATTCAAGATCGTCTTAAATTCATCTAAAAATGCTGTGTGGAACATTTCATTGGCTACGGAGTATTTAAAGACGATCTTGAGACGGGATATAAGATCTGACTATGAATACCGGCCCTAATGTGCGCTCAGTGCGCACTGGTGCAAGCAATCGAATTCGCTATGAGTCAAACAGGTCGCTCGCGCGCGTCCCCGCTCGATATTGAACCGGCGATTCCGCGCGCGAAACGTGAATTCCCGCGAGTTCGCTTCGTCTTCCCCAGTCTCTTCGAGGAGAGGGCACCGGAGTTGGCGCCAATTTTCCCGCGCCTGCGCGACGCTCCGATTGGTGCCTTCGGTGCAACACCGTGCACTGAGCGCGGACTAATGCTGGGTCCACAATGAGAGTCGCAGAGTCGCAGTCGTAAGAATAAAGCCTCCGCTACAATGATTCTCGGTTCTGTCTACAATGGTCGTACAGTTGTATCGATGGTCGCTTGAGCAGTCGTAGTTGTAGTCGCTCGAATAGGTTCAATTCCTATTCCAACGACCACGACTGCGATTTATTGCCGCGACGGATCAATCAGAGAATAGTGTTATATGTCGTGTGTCATTATATGTCGAATATATCGTGGGAAAATACCTCAAAAACAGAAAATCGGTTTCAGTTATACATCGATACGACCCAATCCATGACTCTACGATTCTAAGACTGCGACCATTGTAGACAGAACCGAGAATCATTGTAGCGGAGGCTTAACAAATAGCGGTTAAATGCGACTGGCTCTTGCCTTTGATCCCAACCAATCACAATTTCCACTCACGATCATCATCAGCCGCCGCTCTCAGTAAACGGTGCAGCACCGAGTGCACGCAGTCTCGCCGGCACATGCTCGCTTGCGCAACTGCTCCGCCGTCCTCGTCCTCCCGCGATCGATGGTTATGCGCCGCGGATGACGGCGATAATTGCGATTTCCTCCGCGTAATTGGTTTCACGATCGGGTATGCGCTGACCCGCCGGGCCGCGAGGCACCCGTCGTAAGCGTGATTCGTTTTATCGGTCGCGAGAAACGGAGGCAGGGCTCGGGGACCGGTCACGCGCCGAGGTGTTACGCAGCATCTCGACGAGTTGGCGGTTAGCCGCGCGAGAGGGGCTCGTTGATCATAAATGAGACCGTACGACCCGGTCGCGTTCCGTGCGAGGAATTGATAACGTCGGGAGCGAACGATGTACACGTGGCGGTTGACCGGCACCGCGCTGAGAAGATTCAACGCCGGCTACGGCAGCGGCAATGCTAGGTTAGCGCTCGTTCTGCAGCACTGCAGTGGCCCGCGGGCGCAAGGTCGCGGCAGGTTCGGCAGCTACCGCAGGAGGATAAGCTCGTGGTTCCGGGAGCAGGGCACGCAGGTCGCCCAGGCGTGCAAGCGGCAGTTCGAGTTCGTGGCGGCCCAGAGGATCAGGCGGTGCATACAGATATTCCACCTTTACACGAGGATATGGGACGAGGTAGCGCTGAGGGAGTTTCTGCGCCAGTGGAGGCTCCGGCTCGCGAGGAACTCGAGGAACTTTCTGGTGAGCGCGGCCGGCGTGGGCTGCGTGTACAACTGGGACCGCGACAGGATAAGCGACGAAGAGATTAATAGGTAATTGAGAAGGATGCTTGTAGGGGGGAGATAAGTGCGATGTTATTCCCAGGGTAATCCCGCTTGATGCTTGGTGTTGCAGGTACAATCGCGAGATCGAGGGGATTTACAAATTACAAGACTCCACGGTGATCTGTGCAAAGTGTCACCTGCGAATGGTCATTGACACTGTGCAGTCCGATGTCAAATATTGTAAATGTAGCGGCGCTCAGCCTTCCGCTGCTTCCGATGAAAATTGTAGGTTTTTCGTCTATCTGGTATATCTCGTTACGTTGACGTATAAGTCTGCTTTTCTATTGTTTCTGGCGAGTTTGCGTGTAACATTTGAAATGTGTGCAGCAGACGGCTGGCAGCCTTTCATCGAACGTCAGGATATGCTGATATGGAGAAAAGTAGAGCCTAATTCGGGTGGGTTGTTTGCCTACAAAGTGTACGGCTCGTTCTCCGACGTTACTGCCGAAGACTTTTTGCAAGTACAAATCGACGTAGATTATAGAAAGCAATGGGATCCTACTGCTCAGGAGCTAGAGATCATTGAGACCGATCCGGAGTCCGAATCGTCTACTAATCATAGTACCGATGTTATCCATTGGGAAATGATCTGGCCTGTAGGTGTAACATAACGCGCTACGTCTTCGCTAGGTCTTATCATCTAATGATTCGTTAATTTGCGTCTGTGCAGAAATTATTTTCTAATAGAGATTATGTGTATCAACGACGATGGGTCATGGATAGAGAGAAGGGACTCGTAGTCATTGTCAGTCGAGTGACCGAACATCCCGGTGTGCCAGAAAGACGGGGAATTTATAGGTATATAAAAGACAATCGACATAATTCGAGAGTTCATATAGAAATATACATGTATCATTAAACTGAAGTTCTTCCAAATATATTTTCTTAATGAGGCAAATTGATAATAATTAAGTATTTGAATTATATATAAAAGTAAAAGGAAATATTTCTTTTTTATCAATGAATAATGTTATGTGTTTTTACATAACAGAGTGAGATCGTACTGGTCGTACATGGTGATAAAGCCTTACACAGACTTCCACGAGTCAGGCATTGAATTTGGGCTTACTTACTTCGATGACCCTGGCGTCGCTGTGCCATCCGCTGTCACAGCTTGGGTAGCACTGAGAGGTTTGTTATAATTAATAAAATTAAGAAATATTAACTGTATTCGTAATAATAATGACGTTACGTCGATCTTAGGTTTACCAGATTTTCTAATTCGCATGAGACAGGCCTCGAAGGATTATCAAAAATATAAACTAATGAGAAAAGATGCACCAGACAGTACTAGTCTTGCTTTATCTGAGGAGGGTGTTTCCAAAGAGCAAATCAAAGTCAATGTAGAAGATAAGTTAAAGAATGATGAAACATCGACGAGAGATTATACAGATTCACAGGACGATTCTACTAACAGTACTAACAACGTAGATCTAACGCGTGAACAGCAAGAAAATGATTTGGCGGAAAGTGAAAATAAGGATACCAATGCTGCGCCTAAAGAAGAGCAAGGTTTATTACATTATTTCTATCTTACGAAATTATTTGCATTTTTGGATTTCTGACGAATGGATTTAATGAAATAACTTTTGACTAGTAGATGTTTTAACGTGATTTCACACGGAGGAAACAATAATCTGCCAGTAAAGCTATAGAACAGATTTGTGGATGATAACATTGAGGAACAACTGACATTTTATTAACGTATATTGGACAAATGATATGTGGTTTCATAGGTAATAAGAATGGCATTGTAAATACTAATTACCTTCCTTTTTGTATGGCAAAAAAGTATGGTTTCCATTTTTACAAGGAGAAACAAAATCATTAATCACTAAGTGAGACTGATTAGGTACGTCATCGCCTTTAGTCCATTTATTCATTGAAAATTTGTATTACGTATCGTAAGATAACAAAGTTAAGGTCTGGTGTTTTTTTTTGAGGCTGATTGAAAACGTGATATAGTGGGAACTGCAACTTAAATTCGATAATTTTTATAGTATGAAAATATTTGTATGAAACAAATTTAATTCGTTATATCTCTAAGGCCCGGTTTCAACGTTGTTTAACTTTAAGTTTAGCTTAATTCGTTCTTTGTCTCTTTCAAACTGTTACTTTAGTAAGAGGCAAACGTGAATTAAACTAAGATTAAAGTTAAGCGACGTTTGGTGAAACCGGGCCTAAGACTCAGTTTTTCATTTTTTGGTTAACAGTTAACCAAGAAATGAAAAACCTGGCCGAAGTCTAATATGAGACACGATAAGATATATTTATATATGTATATTTGTACATTCTTTTTTGCATCTGTCTATACATATGTACGCTACAAATGTGAATTTAGACAATTAAAAATTTCAACTTTTGCTGTATTTTTCCTTAAAGTTTTTTTCTTAATCTTTTCAGGGTAATATCCTTAAAAAGTTAATAAACATTTTTCTATTAAATTCCTAATTTTATTAAGACACATTAGCAATCATTTAAAAGATTGTATCTGAGGCTACGAGTAAACTTCTATTTTTTAATTTTCAAAATATATGTAAATATATCTTGAGTATTTCGTATTGTGTATAAAGTAGCTATATATAGTAAATGCATGTAAATGTACATAATGTTACATATGAAAATAGTATCACGCTTTTCAAATTGTATAGAGAAATGATTCTAAAGAATACAAGTGTAACGATTTTCATTAGAGAATAATATCGTGTAAATAAATTATGTGTGTTAATCACATGATGTTAATAATAAAGAATAACATTGTTGATATATAGTACTCGTAAATACATAATGTTATTAACATATCGTTTTGTGTCAATGTATAGTTTATCGAAGGGCATTACAGAAAAACGTGCTAAAAATAAATTTATTCAGGAATAATAAAAGGCATTTGTACACATTTATATACATATTATACGTCTGTGCTCACGAAAGCATATTTAATAATTTTTATATCTTCTCTGTAACGTCTTCATCTATTATTACACGAGATATGAAAACATCACCCTCTGTGTCTAACTTGAAAAGAATTTCTTCCGGTAAACTCTTCGGGGTAGATGAAAACCCCGAACAGTCTTCATCGTGACATTTCTGATATATCTTTTTTGTATTTAAATCCACAATCCAATATACGTTGTTGCTCTTATGATACCTGCCAATGTTTTCACAGTATCTGTAAACAATGTAAAGCGCGCTCACCTTAACCATAGCCAGACGGACGATGTACATGGAAAAATAAAAACGAACAACTAATAGTAGCTCGACTTTCGATTACAGTTATGTTACCTGTTGCCGTAGATTTCGTATCTTAGCGTTTTGGTCTTGTCACAATATCTAGCGGTACGTATCTTGCCGGGATCGATGAGACTGCGAATGTACCTGTCGATCTCGGGATATGGCGAGGTCTGGTCGTCGCTCTCGCGAACGGGCCGTGTCGGTATATTCGAGTAAAGCTGAGCCTTCACGTCGCTTCGATTCGAGAACTCGAGCAGAATTAAATTTGGCTTGTTCGGGAAGTACGATATCAGAGAATCCAAAAAGATCCCCAGCTCCTTCTCTCTGCACTTGTTCACCACATTATGCACGCAATCCGAAGCGACTGTTAGATGCGACTGTTTTCCCCACTTGGTGGACAGGTACATTCTGAAGTGTCTGTTCTTCGTATAGACGCCGTTGTCAACGAACAATTTCTCGCCGTGCTGCGTCTTCACGAGCATCTCCTCGATGTCCGGCTTGTTAAAGTGACTTAAAATTCCATGCGACATTGTATTCGATCTCAAATAAAGCAGGATATCGTTGCATATGGTCTTGATGAGCTTTCCAACGTGCGAGTTGTCTTTAAAAGCCATATCCTTCATGGTAAAAATTACGTGTCTACTGAACTTCTTACTGGACGTGGAGTCCAGTATTAAGAAGTTACTCCTGTCGCATAACAGATGGTAGTGATTAAGTAAGTACGCTCGTATGATATCTATCAGCGTTCTGGTCATGCGTGGCCCGTCGCAGAGCGGATTCGGTTCGATTGGGTATTCCAGGTCCAGATATAACCAGCACGGTGAATCTTTTGGTATTATCTGTCGGATAATATTTTCCATAAGCTATATACTTATATGTATATGTCTAATACACTTTTTACTGTATAAAAATACATTTAAAAATTCACAATATTTTAAAACGTGTATTATACAGTTATCGTGGAATATGCTGTTGCAATAGTGCTCCAATTGTTGAAAATTTTTGTGTATGTTACAATATTTTTGTACTAAACGATCTTATGAATACCTAGAATAGTAGTCCAGGTATTAATGATTGCTGAAAGGAGAGATTATTATCTACTGTCCCACGGTATCGCTGCTTAAATCATTTTGACGATCAACAACAATATAAAAATTTCTCGCATCTGTAAGTAGGAGAGTGGAAGTGTCATCAAGGTCGGCACACTCTTACCTCGTACGAGCATCTCTCTTCCTGCGGCTTCATCTTGTAGTGCCACCAGTAGACCTCCGGATGCGCGACGACGAACCTGCGACTGCCGTCGTCGGGCCGCTGGTACACGAAGGTGCACAGAGTGTCCGTTTTCGTGCTGCGCTCGGCAGCCGCGGCCAGCGCGTCAGCCTGCTTGAAAAACTCTCGCCAGTATTGCGTCGGGCCAAGTATGTGCGACGGCATGACCCGGTACGTTTTCACCCAGTTGGACCTGGACGGCGAACGCTTCCGTATCCTGTTGCCGTAAAACCTTTGCGTGCAAATCGAATCCATCTCGGGTGGACGGGATGGATCCTCGATTGACGAACGGTCGGTTTGCGCGATTCTGAAATCGCGTCCAGTCGCGACTTCACAATTTTCAGGCGCGAGACACCGCTGGCGACGTAAACATACCGCGGCCATTGGAACAGCTGACCCAGACTGGCGTTTTCCCGCCAATTTCGCGTCTCGGTCGCCACGGTCGCCCGTGAATCCCGTGATGCGAAGCATTTCTCATCTTCGTTCGCTCTTCTAACGACTGTGTTTTAAAATTGTATTAAAACCAATTATATAATTTATAAAACTTATTTTCGATGAATTGTGTTATTCAGTAGGACTTGTTTTCACTTGCGATTCACATTCTTTCGTTGCTAACATATAAATTATATGTATAATTGCAAAATATAAAAATTTGCTGACAAGCTACGTTGTACTCCTTTTGCCAACAAAATTTGTAGTGGATAGCTTTGCATTTTCTGGATATAATTGAAATGATGCCTCTCTTTTAAATTTGAAGTAAATTTTTATCCGATAAAAACAGACCAACTTGTAGAGGCCGAATTTTTATCGGCGGTCCTCTTTTGTTTGCGATAATATTGCGTTATTACATTTTATAATTTAATTAATTTACATTTATACACAATAAAAATATGTATAATACAATTTTTCATTATGACATAAAATTACATATGAACATGTGACATGTGTGTGTTCACAATAATACATACCTAACTCTTACAATGTAAAACATTAATAAAAAATGTTACACAGTACACACAACGTGTTACATATGTGGCTGTGCTCATTGTACATTTTTTATTAATGTGCAAACGAAAAATCAAATTGTAAAGGAAAATTTATCGATCAATTGCAAACGGAATTCTATTGATTAAAAAACTATGTGAATCAAATTGAACTAAAATCTATTCGATGTACGAATATACGACAAATCGCCGCGCGCGGTTGCGATTCGTTTAAAGTGGCGAAAATGTGCTCTCTAAAAGTCAATCGGTGGATTATCACTGAAAACAGTGAATCGATTCGTTATTTTCAGTAATAATCAACCGATTAACTTTCAGAGAGTGTTGGGCCTGGTTTATCATTTTCTTGTTAACTGTTAATGTGGAAGTTACTCGACTCTCTATGCTTTTCTATATTATTATCTAAGAAGAGACAGAGAATCGATTAAACTATGGTCAACAGTTTATTAGAAACTGAAAAATCGGGCCCAAATAGTGCAATGGGTACCTTTGGTTGTCCCGTCTTTAGAGTATATGTACTCTCTAAAAGTCAATCGATGGATTATCACTGAAAACAGTGAGTATTCACTGATTCAGTGATAATCCACTGATTGATTTTTAGAGAGTAACTCTTCAGGGTACTTAAGCCCCTCCACCACGACAAGGTAGTACCCGAGAAGGGGATTATCGACAAAAAATCGTGCAATTACATATGTGTATATTTAGAAGGAATATGAATATTGAGTGAACATAAATTAGGTTTGCTATTTAATGCACGACGTGAGAGAGATTCATCCGAATGCGATCGTTAAACAAGGTATTGGCGCCCGTGGATACATCAAACCTAACTAATAATTTATATATGTAATTCCCTTATGGCACTTCTACTTCAAATTACGCGTGATATTTTTCTCGACAAATCACCGCAGAAATGAGCAATAAGATTACAGATCGCGACAATTAATTAAATGCGATTGATAAATTTTAATAACTCTCTCGTAAGAAATGCTCGCATTACGAAGAGCGACGCGAAGACACGCGGAACATCCGCCTCGCTCGACTGATATGCGTCGAATGATTCGACACAATAGACTGTTTTCAACCGGTGTTCGCGGCGCTATGTCATTTCTTGGAATCGACGCCCGAAATTCCAACAATTTTCGCAATTGATTAATTTTAATAATCGACGAAAATTTCAAAGCACGACGCGAGAGAGATTCATACCGATCTCGGAAGAAAATCAATATTATTTTCTGAAATAATCAATGATGTCTCATAAACTAATAAGCCGAGGCGAGCCATTCTTACCTCGTTAGAAGCGCTGAAATCTTAGCTTTCCAACGAGACCAAGATTATCTTGCTACGATTTTTCTGTGTGAAGTTATTGACAATTATATTGACTCGTAATCTCGATCTCGGGACAAAATTAATTTTATTTTCAAAATTAATTAGCGATATTTCATAAACTAATGATCCGAGATAAGCGATTCTTATCTCGTTAGAAGCGCTGAAATCTTAGCTTTCCAACGAGACCAGGATCATCTTTCTACGATTTTTCTGTGCGAAGTTATTGACGATTATATCGACTCGCGATCTCTCTCTTAATCCTCATTCAGAAGCAGCATACGGCGCGTAGGTATACGCGGCGTCTCGCGCGGTGTCTGGCGCGGCGGTGTTTACTACGAACACATGTGCCTCGTATGTTTTTATCCCAGTTTTTTGGGGACGTAGTACGCTCGCGTACTACTTGCGTAAAACTCGCGCGGCCTTCCTTCATGAATGGTGCGCGCGCGCCCGATTTTTAAAACGCTATAACTCGGCCAAAAATTGACGTAGCGACACGAACCAAAAACCAATCTTCTTCGTTTCTCATTCCGCAGCTGTCTACATCGAGTATGTATGCTCTTATCATGAAACCCACATACGACAATGGAATAAAAAGTAAAATATGAAATATAAATTAAATATAAAATGTTGCTGACAAGCTATGTTAGACTGTATAGCAAGTTTATTAAAATTTGATTTTTATAATTGATCATCCCATTTTATTGATATGCTTTATTTCTACTAGCACTTTGGTATAATTAAATGTGCCAAGTTTTGTATTAAACTTGTATACTTTTGTCGGCAAAATTTGTAGCACGCACTGTTCTGGATATTCACTAGAAAATTATTTAAACATTCTTTTGTACATACAAGATTGCTACGTTTATATCAGAAAATCAATACAATTGCATTCTGATCAAATTAAACTTTGCATTGTTCTAGACTAATATCTCTCTTTATTATTTGAATTAAATTTTTATTCAATAAACATAGACCAACTTGTAGAGGCCGTCCACCACCCCCGCCGATTTTGATCGGCGGTCCTTTTTTCTTTACAATTTGGTTTTATCGTGTTTATTATTTATTTCATTTTACTTATAATTTACTTTACAATGCATACAACATTATAAAAGAAATAGTTTAATATCAATGATCCCGTTACGAAAACTCAATAACACTCTCGTGAAACATTTCATGCATGCAGCACGGAACACAACCAAAATTGGGCACTGCATTACCCGCTTGAAAATGAGTGTAGCGGAATAGTTTTAAAAATGAAAATTGGCGCGAGGCGCCGGTACCAGCCGAGCGAAAACGGTATCAAGTAAAACGCCGGCGTGGCCGCTCTCAGATTTCTCTCTGATACTACTGTAATTTTGTATTATTCGGTCTACTGCATGTTCGCGAGAATCCGCTTTCTAAAATATTGCACATTTTCGTTTACATTCAATTTTGCGCACAAAATATATTTTACAAGATATACATAGATGAAAGTCCCCTGTTATGAGATAGGATCTTAATAGGGGAGTTTCTGTTAAATTAATAGTTTCCACCATGAATTTATTGCCCTTGGAGCGATATCTGTTTAGTGGAAAATTCATTGTTAGTATATAATTGTTGCGAAAAAAGATTTGCGATTGAATTTGGGTGTTGAAAACCTGCTATCTCATACCCAGATAGCACAAGACACTCCTATGAACATTTTAAGAATATTCTTCAACAATATTTCAAATATTCCATAGGTCATTCTTATATACAATTTATAGAATATTCGATTGGAATATTCTGAAATTAAGAATATTTGCACTCCAGAAGAATATTCATAGAACTATGTGTGCTATCTGGATAATAGAGGACTTTCCTCTACTAATATATAAATTCAGCAAGTTATTGTTCTTCGTAATACAAGACATCATGTAATACAAACTCACGTTATTTAATCCGACGTAAATGGAAAACCAGTTGAAATACGCTTGGCGGTATCAAACTGTCTGCGCGAGAAACAAAGTGTTATGCATTAATTCAAAAGTAAAAGTGTTCTCGTTCGTTTTATTCGCTTTCACGATACTACAAGACGCTGCGTGGCGGCTACTGACTTGCAAGGAAAATCCTTGTATATGGACAAGTGCAAATTATTATTTGCCCGAATTAATTACCAAGGCCCGATTATACCAAACGTCGCTTAACTTTAATTGTTAGTTTAATTTACGTTTGTCTCTTTCTAAGTAACAGTTGGAGAAAGAGACAAAGAACGAATTAAGCTAAGTTTAAAGTTAAGCACAGGAAAACCGGTCATACGTGAAAGTCGGCCCGCAAGCCGACTATTCGAGCGGATTCGTGCAACGATGTCGTGGATCGACGTATTTGTCGACCAACCATTGTATGCAAATTCTGAATTGAATTTCATCTGGAAATTAGGCGAAACACCCATCCTCTCCCCCGACGCTTTCGGCACGTTTTCTAATCCTTTTGTGTGCACGCACGCGACTTTCTTTCATACGCGGACGAAGAGCGTGCAAGCGGGAAAACGGGAACGTTCGTGTCGACTTCGTGAACAGGATCGAAGGATCCACTTTCGCCACGAAACGAGAAATGCCTCGCGCGTGGATTGAAAAGTAAAAGCGTCGTCCTGTTAACAAGTTCGCTTTATTCATATCTAATACAGCAGAGTTTCCGTTTCGCTACTAATCGGAGAAATGCGTGTTTGTGCGTTTGTATGTGTTTATGTGTGTGATTACTGTATCTCGAGAAACGTGTCCTGTACGAAGGCGTGTCGAGATCGGTTTGTCGGGGGTTTCCGTGTGAATAGAGGAGAATGTTCGGTGCACGATGTAAAAGTACAAGGTGAAACATTGCGTATATACAACCAATTTTTGGGTCAAATTGTCGATCGATTCTTGCTGCATGCAACCGCATGTTTGCAGTTTGAAGGTTTGGGGCAAATTTCTCATTGGTCTCGAGTGCGCATCCCACGGGAATGTTACACCTGGTATTCTTGCATCACGGCTCGGTGCATACAATGAGGTATAAATATAAAAATATTATATACTATAAATATTATATACACACATCTACGTAAATAATGTTGCGCGTGTACCAGAGGGAATACGGGGTCGAGGAGTTTGCGGCGATCGGGAGGGGTTAACAGTTCTCGGGGGGAGGGACAGGGTCGCGTTTACCAGGCGTAGCTGGTGCCGAAGCCGCTGAAGGTGGCGTGGACCACGGGCGCGGCTGTCTCGTACGAGTAAGGGGCGGCGTAGGTCTTGGCGATCACCGGGGCGGCGTGAGCGGCGTACGCGAGGGCCGGCGCGGCGGCGATCGCGGTCTTGGTCACGACCGGGCCGGCGGCGATCGGCGCGGCGTAAGAGGCGTAAGGGGCGTAGGCGGTCTTGGCGATCACGGGGGTTGCCGGCGCGGCGTAGGTGGTGTACGCGGCGGTCTTGGCGATGAGCGGCGCCGGGGCGGCGTAGGTCTTGGCCAGGAGCGGGCTGGCGTAGCTGGCGTAGGCGGCGGGCGCGGCGTAACCGTAGCCGTAACCATGTGCGGCGGCGGGCGCGGCGTAACCGTAGCCGTAAGCGGGTGCGGCGGCGTACGCGGCCTTAGCGAGGACCGGGGCAGGGTGAGCGGCGTACGTCGCTAAGGCTGGCGCGGCGTAAGCGGCTTTGGCGAGCACCGGCTGCGCGGAGATCAGGGGCTTGGCCAAGGCCGGCGCGGCGTAGCTGTAGCCGCCGTAGCCGCCGTAGCCGGCGTAGCCGATGGCGTGCGGCTCCAGCAGGGCGTCGTTGCTCACGTGGCTGTTGCTCACGCGTACCGACGAGTGCGCCGAGTCTTCGGCGCGGCTGTACGTCGACACCACGTTCTGCCCGGCGTAGCCCTTCTGCGTCGACTCCTGGCTGTAGCCGATGCTGTCGTGGTCGGCGGACACCGTGCCGATGTCGTAGGCCGCCGGTCCACCGGCACTGGCCGCAGCGACGAACGCTGCGAGTACTACGAACTGCAGGGGAGTGGACTAGTCTCATTGATAGTGTCTCAAAATTGACGCGCGATACACATGGGAAGAAATGCTTAACTAATAGAGGAAAGTCCCCTACTGGGAGATAGGCTTCTAATGTGAGACAGCAGGTTTTCAATATCCAAATTCAATAACAATCTTTTTTCGCGGCGATTACGCAATTTAACAATGAATATTCTACCAAATGGATCTCGCTCCAAGGGCAAAAAATTTATTCATTCAGAAACCCCGCTGTTTCGTGTTAGGAGCCTCTTTCATAATAGGGGACTTTCCTCTATATATCTTTACGTTATTTTAATTTGTAAGAAAATGACTCTCGGTTGAGATAAAACGACTTATCATCTGTTATTACAGATGTTTTTGTACACTGAGAAAAATGTCCGATTAAATATAATCCAGTTACATAATAACAAACGGATACATCCAATTAAATTGTACATTCGATGAAAAATATGATCGGTTTTTCAATCAAATTTCATCGGATGTATCCATAATTTAATCGGAAAACGTAATCGGAAAAATTAACCATCGGAAACGCTATTTAATTGGTTTATCCGATGAAAATTTTTCTCAGTGTAAAAAATGTGATAAACGGAGTACGGAGTGTACGAGATAGAGGCTTCGATTATTTGTAATTGGAAATATATTAACCGCCAAGAGTTCTTATAGATTTTCCTTCTATCTTTTACCCATGTCGCTTTTACGATTCGCCATCATTTGCACGTTCGTTACTCGGCGTGAGAAACAACTTCCCGACGGAGCCGATGCGCTTACCTTGAATGCCATTTTGTTGGTCTGAAGCGGAACAACTACTGGGTCTCTGCCGAAATGGTAGCTGTCGGCCACTATTTATACGCGGGTGAGGCCGTAGGGGGTTCAATCGAATTTTGGGCATCTACCTTGCTCGAGGTGATTGGGCATGGCCGATGGGAGAGGGAGGCGGTATATGGGACTTGTTTGTGGGAAATGATTAAGAAAGGAGGCGCAAAGGAGAGGTAGGACAGTCGCTCGAGGGGGAACACGGGCGAGTTGCACGGGCGTGGCTCCCCACGAAATTCAGATCTGGTTGTCGGTTTTATTAGAGAACGTCGAGGGCACGACACTCCGATCGCCCGATAATTACGCCTCGCTCTCGGTGATCCGGCAATAAGCATCCGACAGATACGCACAATATTCGCAAATGAAGCGAACGCGCATTGATAACGTCACGACGCTCCTGCACTTTCGTTTTCATCGATTATCCTGCTACTCCCGTTTCTCCGTCTGTCGTTTCTCTGAAGGAACATCTGGCCGTGACGTTAAACACGAAATATCCCGATATCTCTCTTGCGTAAAAAGCAAGGATACATGCAGTCGTGTAATTATTCCTGTTTAATTAATCAGTAATTCTTTCTCGAACAAAATATAAGAATTGTGATACTTGTATCTTGTATTTCTTGCCGTAATTAGGCAATTGCCTTCCCCTTACACGCTTTACGTCCATTTCTAACAATATTACGGTTAGACGCATTCTTTTCAAGTATCAAGAAAGGATGAAAAGGATTAAATCGAGACTCAAGTTAATCTGCATTGGCAAAATGGACATACTCTCGCGTTTTAATTATATGCAAATGCGCAACGAGAGTGTACGTGAAATTAATCTAATTCGCTTGGAAGGAAGGAAACTGGGTGGTGCGATTCTCGTGTATCACTTTGCGAGTCCCTCCTCTCTTACGTAATGCAATACATTTATATAAACTCACCACGATATTGTAGGACTCGCCAAGGACGCACTTTCTCCAAATTCCTATATCGGCATAAGCGGTGTCATATGTGTAACAGAGGAGATACGCAACACTCTTTAAGTGCTCTTGTTATTAGAAATGACGGCGATCGCCGTGCAGTTTCAGACAATGTCTCGAGAATCAAATTCAAATCGTAATTTCATCTCGAATTACACCGCGTACTCATTTTGGGGGGAAAACAACAACGAGTGCTTTGAAATATAAAATGAGATAATGCGAGCATCGCGTTTATCAATTCGCTCTTTGCCTCGCACGAATAATGCGATCGATCTTAAAATAAAGAAAATTTCGAGTAAATCGAAAAGAACTGAATCTCTTTTCCGTAATTAATACACGGAATTCGCGATTGGTGCTTTCCGTTTAGCGACACAAGTCGACGCGACCATCGGTCTTTTTTCAACATTCAGTAAACAACAAGGATAAAATAATACTTGTGTTGGTAAGCACCGAATGATATCAGCGCGATTATATCAGAGAACAGATTAAAGCCAATAAATGATAAATGAAGCGATAAGAGATACGCGAGAAAATGAATGATCGCGATATCGGTTCTCCTTGACGTCCCACTCGTAAATTACGCTTAATGAGTCTTTAATACGATATCGGGAACGCACAGGTAAATTGCCAACTGTGTGTACGGAATAATAAATACTTTGTTACCTTCATAAGTCGCTGCTCTTTACGAATGTGTTTGCGCAATTCGTTGAATCGCGATCTTTCAATTAGCGTGTCTCACTTTTTGCCTCAACTTCTGTGAGATATGCAGAACCAAACTGTCTCGTCAATCGCTCTTCTCTCTACAAATCAATCAGTGAATTACTGTAATCTATAAACAGTGAATAGTCACTGATTTACAGTTGCAAGTATCCACCTATTTCCAGGTAGCACAAGACACTCCTATGAACATTTTAAGAATATTCTACAAGAATATATAAAATAGGATCTATATAGCGCCAATCATATTTATTATAGAGAAAGGAACACTTAAATTTTAATTGAAAGATTCTAAAATCTAGAATAAAATGATTGCATATATCGTCTTTTGTCGAATATCGTAGTGCCAAGATGGAGGGAAAATTTATTCTAAACGCAAGAATATATAAACTTACATTTATATGTATAAGTTACTCTTGTCTGAATATAGTAAGTCAATCTATTTTAATTCGCTAGAGGAGAATAAGAATAATTGATTTTATCTTGATATTGTCTTATTTTTATACTAAATGAGATTGTGAAAAATATAAATGCGTCAAGAATATTTTTTGTCTCGGTAACAGAACTCCTTTCCGAGGGTGTACTATAAATCTTTTTTGAATGTGAATAGAATAATCTAACGAATATAGCGTGTCGGTTATATATGGTGCGATCACAGGTTTCACTGCCTTTTGCCGAAGATAAATGTATTACACAATAAAGAACGTGCAATATACATGAACTCGATGAATATTCAAAAATTATTCTGAACGAATATTCCAAAGACATTCTCGGCGAATATTCTAAAAACGTTCTTATTTGTTATGAATATACGATTTCTAATTGTAATAATCTATATATATATATATATTTATAGAATATTCGATTGGAATATTTGCACTCCAGAAGAATATTCATAGAACTATGTGTGCTATCTGGATTCACTGTTGTCTGCACGGAAAAAAAAAATTAGCTGCTGTAGCTAAATAACTTAGCAAAAAATGGACAGCTAATATTTTTAGTTGTCCATTTTTTGCTAAGTTATTTAGCTACAGCAGCTAATTTTTTTTTTCCGTGTGTGATAATCCACTGATTGACTTTTAGCGAGTTCCAACGGGAGCTCTTTTCGACGAAACCACCCCAAGATGCTCCTAGAACCCCCGAAGGCTCGGTCGAGTACACGGAAAGAACAATGTAGCTGCTGTAGCTAAAACTTAGCAAAATAGGGACAGCTAATATTTTTAGTTGCGATAGCTCAATATTTTGCTACGACAGCAAACCGTTTGCTGTCGCACCTAGTACAATAGGCACAGTAGCAAAATATTGAGCTATCACAACTAAAATATTAGCTGTCCCTATTTTGCTAAGTTTTAGCTACAGCAGCTACATTGTTTTTTTCCGTGTAGTAAGTACGCGAGCAAAGTGAGAGAAATTTTGAGTTACGCAAGACGCCGTCGGCCCTTTGTCGCGCAAGGTTGGTCACCACTGGGCGCTTTAGGTGACGGTGCTAGGTCACGGACAGGCGTACCCCTTCACGCAAGTTGTCCGATTTTTTCCTTTGTAAAAGTACACCGCCCGCGGAGGTTACGCCTTTCCGTCCGTGACCCAGTATCACCCTGAATTCTTTATTTTCACTAACGTCGACGACTCTTCAACTCTCATTCGACATGCAAGAGTATCATGCGCTGAGCGCCCTCGCGTGCTCCTCTACGTTGGAACACCTGGCAAAATTTCCGTTCGGCAAACAATCTTATCCCGAAGCGACTAAATGAGTTATCGTTGACAGCATTTCTCACGCGAGATTATTACGAACGAGGCAGCCGAATGTGAAACCGACCGACGCCTACGGTCTCCCGCGCGTTTGTTCCACAGAAATCGATAAATTAATAAAATTCGTTGAAATCGCCGCATTTGTCGAAATCGCGAATCTGCAGATTACGCGACGTTGAATCTGCCCTCTTCAAGGGAATATAAAAAAAGAAAAAAAAAGTTACGACGAGGATGGGATTCGAACCCACGCGTGCAGAGCACATTGGATTAGCAGTCCAACGCCTTAACCACTCGGCCACCTCGTCACGCACATTGACGGGTTCAAAATGTTCGTGGTAAGCCGCGGGGTCTCGACCACTCGCAATGCCATTACTCTGCAACTTTCAACAATTACACAAGACCGCGAGTGCGAAAAAACCTATTATCCGGCGTAAAACATATGTCAGCATTAGTCTGCAGGTGTGCGGCGTGGCGTGTGCATTTCGGAATGCGGTTCCGAATAATCGGCAATTAGCGGGACCGACCGTGTGCCACGTACGAGGAGAGAAAGCCAAAAAAAAAAAAGAGAAGCAGAATCGCCGAAAGGGCCACCTCGATTTTTATCGACCCCGAACAACCGGGCGCGACTCCGCGGCCACCCGCGTCGTTGTGTCGTTAACACCTGACGAATCTTTCGCGCGACGACGCGAGATCGGCTAGAAAATATTTGTTCGTTGCCCGTTGATATCTACGTTCGTTGAAAGTTTAATTTAACAAAACACGCCGTTCGCTCGAGTGCATTTCAACACGGTGAAACGGAGTACCCGTCGCTGAGAAAAATGCCCGATAAAATATAGTCGGATAATCCAATTACGTAATAACAAGTGGACATACCCGGAGAAAAATATTATCGGTCTCTCAATGAAATTTCATCGGTTATATCCACAATTTAATCGGAATTAACCATCGGAAACACTATTTAATTGGTTTATCCGACGGAAATTTTTCCTCGGCGCACGTGTATCGAGTTTTAACTTTATCAATTAATTACGAGGCGATCGACTACCGCGCTCGTTACGCGACCGACCATTACGTATGTGTCAACGTCTGAACGTGATAAGTCCCCTTAGGCATCCGCAATGTGCATCTAGCGTATTGCACTTGGCAAACAATTTCGCAACGACGCGAGATATACAGTGACGTCGGCTCTCGCGTCGCGATCCTCCAATAAATCTCTGTCGTTTATTTCGGGCGTCTCTCGATAACGAGACAAAGAGACAGAGTGTGTGTGTGTGTGAGAGAGAGAGAGAGAGAGAGAAAAAAAAATTCGGAGATTCTTTTGTGCCACGTACGACGGATATCGGCGTCGAGAGAGTCGCTGCCGTTCCGCTCGGGCGACATGACGAGCGTCTTATCCCTGCGCGTGTATCTTTAATCCACGTTAATTACGCAGTTGCGTGTGACGTAAACACGCGGGGGCCGCCGATGTTCCTTCCGTACGATCTTCCTCGCGTTAATCCCCGGACGGCGGCGGCCGCGGTCGAAAGAACTCGCTCGCTTGGGCAATCGCTCGCCTATCACCGACCCACGCGGTCGCCCCGATAGAACGCAGAGCTACTTGTCGGGTGATCTAGTGCGCGCCGCGCGATCCCAAGATCCGGTAGCGAACCGACCATGGTGGAGTTCACGCCGGTTTACGACGACGCCACCGCGCGATCGCTCGGGGGCGAGTTCGCGCGGCTCCAAGGTGAGACGCTCGGCGAGGGGGTGGACGGGGGTTGTTCCGCTCTCGCTAACTTGGCCGGCCAGTTTATTTTCAATATCGACGTGTTTCCATTAACGGCTCCTTGAAAATGTCCCTCTGCGCTCACAATGGAAGGCGATTCGCGTGACACGCGGCGTGTTCGACTCCGCGAGACGGTGACGTGACAAGGACACGCGTGATGACATCGTTACGGCACTTATGGCCGCTATTTACATAATGGCGCGCTGTTATCGTACAGGGCGATTCATAGCCGCCCGACGTCTCCTCCGCCGGTTTCCGTTTCAGCGGGAGAAATGATTAATGAATAAATCCTTATTGCGAAAGATTTTTTTTTATCGCACTCGTAGCATTATTATTTTTATGTCGAACCAAGAGCGCGGGTTTATCGGTTGTTTTCTCTCGCGAACTAGTCTCTCATTTTTGATCGTTGATTATTGCGAAAGTTATGGGCGCTTTGACGTTTAGAAAGGTCGTTTCTCCGAATTGGTCAAGGAGTCTTCAAGAGTTCGACAATTTTGGGCCGTGTTGCATAAACGCTTGCAGACATGCAAACAATATGAACTGGACAAATATTTTGCCTAAACGACACGTAAAGTCCCCTATTATGAGGTAGGCTCCTAACATGAGACAGCGGAGTTTCTGCTAAATTAATAGGCATCGTCTGTTGGTTCCATCGTGAATTTATTGTCCCTGGAGTGAAATCTGTTTAGTGGAAAATTGACCGTTAGATCGTGTAATCGTTGCGAAAGAAGATTTGTGATCGAATTTGGACGTTGAAAACCTCACATTAGAATTCTATCTCATAATAGAGAACTTCCCTACATGTCTAAAAGACGCCTTTTAGACATGCGTGCTGTCTGGATTGCAATCTTTATTATATTTCATAAGTTTTATCGACGCACAGTTACTGAAAAGTCGAAAACGCGTAAACAACATCTTAAAGTTATACAGGGTGTCTTTCCATATCCGACAAAATTTTTGAGAAGGTAGAACGGATCGAGATGAACTGAAAAGTCCTGTATCATTTTGCAATTTTCGTAATAGTTAACGAGTTTCGTAATTAATTATTAAAAATCGTTGTCTTAGGCCGGCCTACCGCCCAATTCGAGCGCGTGGCAAGATGTGACCGCCTGGCGATCGATATTGCTATGCGCACATCTCGCC